GAACGGGACACTACACACGCACGCACACACACACCCCCGCGCCGTCAAGGCGGTCGTACTGTACAAGGCTCGCTCTGACATAGTTTGGGCTGATGCAAGCTGATCAAAGTCGCTAGTAAAGGGGATGAGCTGATCCAAGTCCTCAGGAAAGGGGAGGCACCCCCATACACCAAACTTGCCACACCAAAAATAGTCTAGAATCCTGCACTTCAAGAGCTACACCATCATCAAAATAGGGACGCAACCTCCCGTGACAAAGTATCAACCTGGAAAGTTCAAAGTCCTGTGCCCTGAGGCCCATACCAGCTCCAAATCACCAGGAAAAGGGATCTATCCCTAAATCCCAAACACATCAACCCCAGAAAGCTGGGAGTGCTGTGCCCTGAGAGCTATGTCAGCTCCAGATCACCAGGAAAGGGGATGCATCCCATATCCCAAGCGCACCAACCCCAAAAGTTTGGAATCCTGCACACTATGGGCTATACCATCCCTAGATCACCAGGAAAGGGGACGCATCCCCATGTGCGAACGCATCCGCCTGGAAACCTTATCCCGAGCAGACCACCCTGGAAAGTTTGGAACCTCGCAGCCTGATGGCCATGCCAGCCCCAGCACAGCCTCCCTCCCTCCTTCCCCCAGGAACGCTGATCCTGAGGGCTATTTTTAGCACCTCTGTCCCGGGAGGCCGCAGCGGCTGGTTTCTCCCTCCAGCCTGGAGCCCCCCGGCCGAAGCGCGTCCCCGGCGGGCCCGGGTGCCCGCATGCAGAAGAGGATGGGCGAGGCGGTGGCCCGGGTGGCCAGGAAGGTGAACGACACGGTGGAGAACAAAACGGATTCCCTGGGTAAGCCCGGTGCTCCGGCTCGGCTCCCGCGTGGGGCCCAGAACAGGATCAGGTATCCGGGAGCAGGGCTCTAGTTTTTTACAGCCACGGTCTAAAAAAAAAGCTGTCAGCCCCTCCTCTGGGTGCTGCACCCAAAGCTCCAGCACCCCCAGGGAAAGAAAAGACCCCCGCAAAGGGCTCTCTACCCCTGCAAAGGTTGAGTGGGTTCCCAGCAGTAATCCCGTGGGACATGCCCCAGGGAGAAAGTCTTTCCTTGCAAGCAATAGCAAGAGGCAGAGCCTCACCAGGTCTGTGTTACTCTGCAACTTCCCCGTTTCCAGCTACTATCTGAGGCCCACACGCAGTTCATAAAAAGCAAGAGATGAAAGCTGCTCATTTTTATTCATGCTGGATTCCCAGCCCTGGGGTATAAACCAGCATACGCTGAGAGTCAGAGCTTCAGCGCTCAGCCTCTCCACGTCCTCCTGAGCGAGAGAAGAGGTGGGGGAGGGCTGAGCTTGTGCAGCCCCCACCATGGCTTTGGGGAGCAGGAAGGCAGCAGGGCGCAGGACCAGGATGCAGGGTTTCCATCCCTGGCCATGTCCCAGGAAGGGAGAGAGAAAACTTACAGCAAAACAAAAAAGCCAATAGATGAGAGATGAAGCCAAATCCTTTCCCCTTCTCCCTGCTGCCTACTATGGGGCTGGGCTCAGCATGAGAAATCCAAGCAGGAGCACATCCAGGGAAAGTCCTGCTCCACCTCCGTCCCAGTTGGTGCAGGAGCATCCCAGTGCTGCTCAACCAGCCCCAGGGTGCAAGGGACCTAGAGGATGGGGATTACTGAAGTTGACACAGACAGGCTGGCTGAGGGTCTGCAGAAGGACATTGCAGCATGGAAGTACTTGCTAGGTGATTTTGGGTTGAACACACCTAAGGCAGAGCAGCTTTAGCATTGCTGGTGGGAACAAACTTCCAGAGGGGACTGCAGAGATCTCCACAATGGAGAGGACCGTGGCAAGTAACTTCACAGCATTTGTGGCTGGCAATGATTCAGATGGGCAAATCCAGCACTAAGGGGTGGAAAACAAAGTGGGAAGTCTTGCTCCATCCCAGCTTGGGTGCATTATAAGGTGTGTGGGTCTCTCTGGGGGCAGATCTGGCCAACTGCAAGCTGATGACCTTCCCTGTGGGCATCTACAAAGCCATGAGGAGTGTCACCGAGGGGATCCACCGCATCTCCCTGGCGAACAATGAGCTGAAGTCCCTCACCAGCCGATTCGTCACCACCTTCAGCCAGCTGAGAGGTAAGGAACAGCCACGCTGCTTCACAACACCCAAGACCCAGCAAAGCAGGCACAGCACCAGAGTTACCCCAGCAGTTTTTGTTCCTTTGCCCTCATCTCATACCAAGCACTAGGTTCAAACCCCTGCAAAACTTTTTTTCTTTACCCTTTCAAGAAGAGAGCACTGGTTTTGCTCTTGCCCACTTTCCCAAAGTCACGCCCTGACACGTTCTAACCATTTTCAGCAGTAGCCAGGCTGCTGCAGTGTCACTCAACATCCTCCAGCTCCCTCCAAGGATGGGGCTGAGGATGAAAGAGGCTGGGAAAGGCAGCCTAGACATATGATTCATGGCAGAGCTGGGGCACTGCAGGCTGCAGAAGCCATGCTGACTTGCTGCTGGCTAATTAGTCCTCATCTTGAGATTATCAATGCTGGTTGCTCACTCTCCCCTTGCTGCAGGAGATGAGGGCAGTCACCAGTGCATGGCTAGTGCCATGAAGACACATCCCTGCAGAGCCCAATGAAAGCAGTCAGAAGCTAATCTGCTAAAACATGGTCATGCAAACACCCAAAGCATCCATCCATGGCTTTGAGTGCTGAGGACTGTGCTGGGGCTTCACCTGCCCCTGCAGCAGCACCTGGGGCTGTGGCAGCTTTGAAAAGCAAATATTTTGTTTGTATAACATAATGCAGAAGTACCACCATGGTGGGTGTCTGGGGAAGCTTCCCGGGTTGTACTGGAGCTGGAGCATCACCCCTGAACACTACCCTAGACTGGAGGAAAGAAACACATTGAACAAAAGAAATCAATTTTCATTTTCTAGTCAGTGATCCCTGAGGGGAAGAAGAAGAAAAAAAAAAAAAGAGTCTTGTTCCCCAGCAAGGGCTTTGCTCCACCAATAAACAAGTCACTCTGGTGATGAACATGTCAGGCTTCAGCAGGGCTCTTGCAGGGGAGAGATGCCCCAGCTCTGGGGATAGCTTTGACCCAGCCTGAACGAGGCAGGACCTATAAATATCAGGAATTAGCAAGGGCAGGGCAGCTTGTGTGGGTATTTATAGAGCACAAAGCGCTGTGTTACTGGAGAAGGGTGTTAGGGCAGCAGGATCTGGGTTCCCCTTCCTGGGGCTAATGGCCTCTCACGCAGGAGTGCTGCTCCTGACCCTGCAGGAGCTGATTTCTCGGGGGTAAAAACATCACAGAGGGTTTAACACTGTAGAAGAGATTTATTTTTTTTCATACAAATACATTTCTTGCACCACTCTATTTATACCTCAGAAGGGATTCAGGCACGTGGATAGAAAAACATCCTTAAGCCATGACAAGCACCCACTGTGGGGGGGAATTACACCGACTGCACTAAGAAATACTGCTTGTTTCTACAGCTCCTACTTGTGAAATGCTGCACGGGTTTCATTAGAGAAGCCTGAGGAATCTGCAAAACATCCCTCCTAAAAGCACTATTTCTAGCAGACAGAAGTATGATAGCAAACCAGGGAGATGAGAAAAATAAAATAATGCCATTTTGGCAGTTGGAATCCCATTGCTGGATCCGGCAGGTTATGGGGGAGAGAGGCTGTAAATTAAGCTGTATATAACAATATGTACAATATATGATACATAATTCCTTATTAGTTATGATTTATTATTTTCCCACCAGAGCTCAATCTGGCAGGCAACTACCTGCACCGCCTGCCCGAGGAGGTCACCTCCCTGCTGCACCTCCGAGCCATCAACCTCTCCCGCAACAGATTTCGGCGTTTCCCTGAGCCCCTGGCTGCTGTCACTACCTTGGAGACCATTGATCTGGAAGAGAATGAGATCACAGGTGAGAAGGACCTTTTCCCAACTGGAATTGAGACTGAGCATCATCCTGGAGTCCCGGGGATGATGCTGTTCCACACCCTGGGCAGGGAAGGATGCTCACGGCCCGCCATTCCCTGAAGATTCAGACAGGCTGAGGGATGACTTAGTGATCCAGCAACAGGAGCATGAATTTGGCAGGGGGAAGGGCACAGGCTGCAGGGCAGATGTTAAGTAGACAGAGCCTCATTAGCCACTTGCTTGCGCTGCCTCCTGGGATGAAGCTGCTGCAGGCGTAGGGGGAAATCAAGACCTATTCAAGCCACCCAAGTTCACCATGCTGGGATCTGGCTCTCAAACGCAGCTCCCAGCTGTGACTCCAAATCAGCAGATGTAATAAAAAATAGACATGATTGCAAAACTCAGCCCCAAGGATGTCGGGCTGGGAAGTTTACTGCTAGGGCACAAGCCCTGCTGAACATTTCTCAGAACAAATAGGAGCTGTAATACTACAAAATCCCATTCAAAAAAAAATAAAAAAATAAAAAAAATAAAATAATTATAAGATCCACTCATCCCTCAACCCTGCAGCAGGAGGAAAATCTTTCATTCAGAAAGCTGAAGGCTTTGGAGTCCCCAAAAGCTGGGCAAAGGGGGCAGCTGTTGCACATAGATAAAAGGGGATTTACTTAGGAGCGAGCTTTCAAAGAGCCCAGGCTGGAGCATCCCACACAGATCCCCAGGGAGACCAATATCAAGTTCACTCAGTTTTGCTGTTTTATCTAGGATGGCTTCAGCTGCTGCTGGGAAAGCTGCTCCCTGCAACATGAGTTTTATTAACAGCATCAGCTGCTCCCTGGCCATGCCTTTAAAAGCAAGACATTAAACACTGCTTCCAGGAAAAACAGCAAAAGATGTCGTTTTTCCTCAACTCCTTCTCTCCCAGAGACAGCTCCCTCCCTCTTAGTTCCCTCCATCACTTTTTGAGCTTAATTGGCCAACTTCAATCAGACCTGGTCTCCAGGCAGCATATCTCCCATTCCGTTTGCACAAGCAGGCTGCTCTGAGAAGGGAACACAGCTTTTTGTTGTATTTTTATTTCCTGCTTAAATGCAAGGAGGAAAGGCTGCACACAAGGGTTGCAGCCAGCCAGATTAGTGCTGGGGGAGAGGGTGGCTGGAAAACCCAGCTGCCAGGCTTGGTCACCTCCCACCCAGCTCCTCTGAGCTGTTGTTATCAGACTCAGGAAAAACAATGACAGGGTAGAAATTAACCATTTAAAACTAAAACATCTTAGGGACCTATTTTACTAATGAGCACAGCACTGCTTGGCTGCAGAGATAGGGAAAAAATAGCTTATTTTATGTAGTTTTTGGAAAGGGAGAAAGTAGATATTAGAAACTCAGGGGTGTTGCAGCCCATTTTTCCAAGAAAACAAAAGGCTGAGCAGCCCCATAGCTCTTGTCAGCCCTTCCCAAATGCCTCCCAGGCTCTTCTGCACAGAAGTTTGCATTTATGTGTATATCTATAAATGTATTTTTTATATGCTAACACAGATGGATATATTAGCTATGAGCTTGTATTTATGTATTGACCTTTTCCTCCAACAACATGGGAAGGAGAATCTATCAACTTGAATTTAAGTGGCACCATTTTTTTTTACTGTTGTTGGTTGGTATTTTTTTTTTTCCTTCATAGCCAAGGAGGATTTGAGCCTTTCACTCATATCCCCTCCAGGAGATTGCAGGGCATGCTGTAGGAGGTGGCATCTTGTCTTTTCCCCTCTACATACACATACAACTCACCCACCACAGCTAGCTGATAACCCTTTTAACAGCAGGGTCTCACGAGGAGCAAGTAGCATGTTCTTGGAGAAGCTCTTGAGACATCTGAAAACTCATTTAGGTCCTACTCTTCAACACTAATATTCCCAACGATAAGAAGGAACTACCCCAGTAGTTCAAAAGCTGCATTTTGCTGCCTTTTATAGTTTAGGACCCTGATTGCCCCATTTATCCCAAAAAGGAGTTGAGGTCCCTGCTCCAGATAAAATAGTGGTAGGTGAGAGAAAGATTTTCTACAGACTAGGTGTAGGAGATGGAGGTTAAAGAAGGGCTGGAGCTTTTTCCATCAGCATAAGGGTTATAGATCATCTTGGTTTTGGTGCTGCTGTGGTCTTGTGTCATTGTTAGTCCTGCCTGCCCTTTTCTGCCCTCTCAGTGATGCCGTGAAGGAGCTGATACCAGGGCTGCAAACCCAGTTTCAAAGAACCTCCTCAAAGAGGGCTGAGTCACCTCCTAGGCCATATTGAACTGGAGATGGTAGCTGATGTTTTCCAGCTAAAGGGAAACAGGAGTAAAAGGAGATTAATTAATGCCTGCCTGGAGTCTGTGGGCTCTGTGAAAGGAGACATTTAATGCCAGGAACTGGCCTTTTCAACTCAATGAGCTCTTAACCCTGGAGTGTAATCATCTATAAAGCAATGTCAGTGCTTTTAACTCTTTTCCTATTAATTAGAGTTATATCAAATTAGCATTCTCAGCTCTCAAGTCCATGGGGATTTATTTTTTTTTTATTATTATGCCTGAAGCTCCAGTTTCTCTTTCCTTTATTCCTTGATTATGGCTTAAAGCTGAAGACATTGGGACAGCAAGGGGGATGCTGGAGACCACTAGCAAGGCTGGGTGGGTTGTTGATGAGGGCAACTGTGGCTGATTTGTCCTCCTGAATATCGAAGAGAACCACTCTTAGTTTGGAATAACAGCATGGGAAATGCATCTTTGTTAATAGCCCCAGAGGAGCCAGCAAGTGGTGTTTCCACCAGCAGGTTTGGAGGAGGCTGGCAGGAGTTCATAGCCACCAAAGGATGCCAAAAGGTAATGCCAAAAGACGACCAGGAAGCGGCTCCGCTGAGCTGAGGACAGTCCTTCCCATTTCAATTTGCAGCCCTACGTGGCTGTGAGACCTTTGGGGCTGTTAGTGCTTATTACTCAGCTCCTCAAATGCCTCAGCAGATACAAATATCCATCTCATCAGATGCCTCCCGATGCCTCAGTAGCCCTTTTATCTGAAGGAGCTGGGCTCTTCATTCACTTATTATCACATTCTGATCTCAGGAAATGACTGTTTGCTTTAATTATGAAAAACTCTTTTTTCTTCTTCCCCTTTTTTTCACTTAACTAGCAAAGCCAGCATGAGTAACTCAGGCTCACACACGAGTGCCTGATCCACCAGAGAGCCAGCAAGCAGCTGGAGTTTGCTTATAGAGGAGTTTGTGGCTCCCTTGGCATGACCATATAGCTATAGGTTGCAGTGGGTGACCTGCCTGTTGCTTCATGCCGAGGTGAGTCACCACTCCTTACCTGGAATTAAGTTGCAGAGCTGGAATGTTCCCACCCTGGGCAAAGCTGGCTCCCTAAAACACTTTCCTTAACTCCACAAATTTAAGCAAAGTGGGGATTTATTACTCTGCATAGCTTTAGAAGATCATTAATCAGGAAGCTCTATCAAGAAAATAAAAAGACAGGATTACATCAAGGGGGGGAAAAAAATGCAAAATTATACAGGGGAGTGGCAATCAACAAATCCACCATTTAAAAAAAAAAAAAAAGTATAAAAAAAAAATCTCAAGGAAACTTAGCCTGATAAGAGAGATGCACAGCTAAGAAATAAGTGTATGATGGGAATTGCTCTCTGGAAGGGAAAGGAGGGGGAAAAAAAAGCCACAATCAACGTATTTGAGTCTTTTTCCAGCATAAAATAAGTTTCATGGTTTAAAAATTGTATAATCACAACACTGCAATTCTGCTCCAAGTACTGGCAGAAGAAACCAGAGCTGGGGATATAAAAAGCTCTTGTCATTTTTCTGGCCAAATTGCAAATAAATTGTTCTTGGTAAACTCAGGTAGGTGAGCTTTTCAAGCCCAAAACATTGTCATTTGTAACACAAAGTCAACTCTTTCACCTTTTAATGATCTTAATGCTTAGCTTTCCCTATTGATCTCATTCTGCTGCTCTCAGTGGATTCACACTGGCAACATCCACAAGACCTGCAGCTTTTTTTAATTTAAAAACAGAAGTTTGAATTCATAGAAATTGCAAAATAGGAGGGTGCCTGGCAATGGCCGGGAGCCATTTTGCAGCCTGTCCAACAAGGCCAAAGAGCACGTGCTCTCCCGTTAGCCTGGCAGGGGCTCCTGAGCATTGCAACACTGGGAATAAAATAAGCAAATAAGTCTTTGAATACCAGTTTAACATCCCATCAGGGTTTTTTTTTTTTCACAGCTGAGAAAACTGGAGGCCAGTGTTCAGGATGGTATTTGCACCTTGCCAAGATACTTGCTTGAGTAGTTGTATGATTTACAACTTAGTCGGTCAAGAGAGGTTCTCCTCCCCCTCTATTCTGCATTGGTGAGGCTGCATCTGGAATATTGTGTCCAGTTCTGGGCCCCTCAGTTCAAGAAGGACAGGGAGCTGCTGGAGAGAGTCCAGCGTAGGGCTACAAAGATGATTAGGGGAGTGGAGCATCTCCCTTATGAGGAAAGGCTGAGGGAGCTGGGTCTCTTTAGCCTGGAGAAAAGGAGACTGAAGGGTGACCTCATCAATGTTTACAAATATGTAAGGGGTGAGTGTCAGGAAGATGGAATTAAGCTTTTTTCAGTGTTGACCTATGATAGGACAAGGGGTAATGGGTGCAAATTGGAGCATAGGAGGTTCAAGGTGAATATCAGGAAAAATTTTTTCACTGTGAGGGTGCCGGAGCACTGGAACAGGCTGCCCAGAGAGGTTGTGGAGTCTCCTTCACTGGAGTCATTCAAAACCCACCTGGATGCCTTCCTGTGTGATGTACTCTAGGTGGTCCTGCTCTGGCAGGGGGGTTGGACTAGATGATCTTTCGAGGTCCCTTCCAACCCCTATGATTCTATGATTTAATATTATTTGGTGATGTTTGCTTTAATTTTTTAGTGTGATAAAAGCCTGGAGGTGGGTGGGAGCGGGGCTCGCTCCAGGCTGCCCATCATGCCACAGCTTTTGCCCCCTCTGCCACTCTGAATTCCCCGTCTGCCAGCACCGGGCTGGATGCTCACCCCTCAGTGCTCTCTTTTGCAGAGGTGCCAACAGAGAAGCTGGCCACCATGGCATCGCTGCGGAGTCTCAACCTGCGGGCGAACCCCGTCGGCCCCGAGGTGCGGCTCCTCGTCCGGCCCCTCATCCCCTTTGACCTGCTGCTGTCACCAGAGGAGCCTGTCCCCAAAGCCTGAGGGGATCTCGGGGTGCCTGGGCGAGCTCCAAAAAGGGGTGACTGCCTGTGAGAGCGGTTTGGCTTCGGTCAGTCCTTGCTATGCTGCTATTTTTGTGCCAAACCCGCAACGAGGGAGCCAGTCCCTGTTTTTTATCCTTAATAAAAAGCAAGTAGTGGGGCTCCTCCAGGAAGGGATGGCTCTGCTAGATCCCAAGCCCAGGAATCTCCCACTATGTGTTTTGGGGAGGCAGAGGAGCCCGTAATGCAAGGTTTGGGTAAAACTGGGGGCATGGGATGTTTGGCTGTATCCATCCTGCCTGGGCAGAGACAGTGAGCATCTACTGCCCTGGTCCAGGGCTGGGACAGTGGGGGACATCCCCATGGCCATAAGGATTCCCCCTGGAATTGCTGATATGGCCATGTGCCGCATGACTGATTAAATGTGTTCCTGTTATGTGTGGGGGTTTTCTGTATTGGCTAAATGTAGGCGTTCTCAGTTGTCCTCTCCTTAAAGAAGCCCCTTTGCACAACGCAGTTCAGCTTGGGCTAGAGCCTCCAGCTGGATTCTGCCCAGATCTGAGCAGCATTTCTCTGGATTTCCCTTTATTTTCCCCATGTTTTCTTCACCGTGGACAGCAAAGCAACCCAGTGCCAGCAGGTCTTCACACACTGCTCAGCCCATGGGTGTCCCCAGAAGCACGCACCCGCCTCCTGGGTGCTCTGGGTTTTTGGGACATGCTGCTTTCTCTTCCAGGAAGAACTGAGCTGTGAGGCTCAGGATATGGTCCAGGGAAGGTGGCTCCTTGGTGGCAGGGAGGCCACCACCAGGCATGCTGGTGGCCCTTAGCAGCTGGCTGCTTGCAAAAAAATGCTCCTGGGAGAAAACTCAGGTGTTATCTCAAAATGCCTTGCTTAAAAAATCTCCCATGTTTGCTCCATCAGGTTTTGGAGGGAAAAAGACTTCCCAGTGGCATGGGCTGGCTTCAGGCAGCCTGAAAAAATTAATCCTAGAAGTATTTGACTTCTAGACTTGCCCAAACGCAACTTCAGTAAAAGATCGTGGTGAGAGGGGGGATTGTTGATGTTGGCAGGGATGGAGGAGCTGGAGTCACGCAGAGCAGCTCTGAGCCAGGACCGTGGTGACCCCGATGCTCCCCAGGAACCAAACCTGCTCCAGCTCTCCCCTTGCCTCCCGCGGGCTGTCTCCCCCACCTCGTGCTGCCTCGGTCCCCCGGTATCCATGGCGATGGGAGGCTGTCCCCCCGCTGCCCCCTCCCCTCCCCCCTCA